ATCTGTGCTTCAGTTTGGATAAGTCCTATTGATCTATCTCTAAGTTCATTGATCCTTTCTTCTGTCCTACCCAATCTACTTGTAATCCCCCTCCAATGAATTTCTGACTTCAGATATATTTTTTCAGTCTAAAGATTTCCACTTGAGTCTCTTTTGTTAGTTTCTAAACCTCTCTTGAAATGCCTGTCTTTTCATCCATAATGTTCATGTGTTCCTATAGACTCTTTAACATATTTATCATAGTTATTTAAAGTCATACCTGCTAAATTGTTTGTGGGTCTGTTTCTGTTGACTATTTCTTCTCAAAGCCAAGCATCACATTTTCCTTTCTTCCCATTTACACACACACACGACCTCATGAACGATACACTGCAGTCTTTCGGTTGTTACCTTCCTCTGAAAGTAACTGCCTTTATGAGCAGACAATTAAATTTCAGGTGGATCACCTTAAACTTGTGGAAGTTTAGTTTCATGCTTTGTTAGGGTGGGACACTGGTTTTACCCTTTATCCTAGGGTGAATCAATCAATCTTGGGATGTAGTATTTATTCCCAAGGAATAGATCCTCTGGGGTTTCAATGGAAAGACTGGGGTGTTTCCAAGGCTCTGTCACTGGGTAAGACTTGAACTACAGTCTCTTGTTTCTCCTGCATTGGACAGTAGCTGGAATAACTGCTCAGTTCTTTCAAACTTCCATCTGCTGTTTTCCCTTTGGGGCCTCACTAGAGCAGAGTCAGGGTCAGCCAAGGCTTTGAGGGGAAAATGTTCCCCTTTCCCACAATGTGGCTTCTCCCTCCCCCCATCCCTCAATTTCTAGCCATGATGGCAGTCCCATCATTCTAGGAAATGAGGGGGCACTTTTCTGCTTGCATTCCATCCACACAACAGAGCGTAAACTCAGGGAAAAGTGTGGTTCCCTTCCTTGAGAGCAATTCCCTCCAGTTTCTGCCTGCTTTTAGTATCTGCAGTGTCTTTAATAAAAGTTTCTTTTTTGCTTCTTATTCCTCATTTCATTCATTGTTATCTGATAGAAGCTACTTTGCCATTATTGAAATTGGAAGCCCCTTTAAAATTTTAAATGTCTATGATACTATGATTTGTAATTGGTGTATTTTAACATTAGTTTCCTTTTGCTCTGTTTGTGACACCTTTTTTCAAATAACTAACACTCTTAAGAATGTGGACTTTTAAAGAGGTATGTCACCTCTTTGAGGTCATCCTCTTAGTGCACTACTGCTAGCTCATGTGATTAAAAAACAAAACAAAACAACATAATAGAAGGAAAATATAAAGTCCTTGCACATAAGTGGCACCATATGCTCAAGTTTATTGAACAGACACAAGTTACACACTGGAGACTAATAAGCAGAACACTGTACCAGTTTTCACTAACTCAAATCAAGTTAGCAAATGACAAATTTTAGAAGACACTCATTTTATGTCTCACCCAATGTGGGTGATCACAAGAGAGCTAAATAAAGAAAATTACTTTCTATGTTACTTAGGTAGGAAATTAATTGATATACACAGCTTCCAAGTTACTTTAAGATATTGCAAAGTGTTTCAAAACTAGTGGGGAATAGCTCATGTCTAGCCTGAAATAAAGTGTAAAATGGACCTTTTAGGGGTAAATAACTTCATTCGTATATCCATCTCAGAATCATTCCTTCCTGCTAACAAAAATACTAATAAATCTCCGTTTAGATTAGATTTACTAAGTTAATAATGACTTTGAAATATCTAGGTTTGGTTACATTGTTATATTGCACTTGAGAAGAATGACAAGAAAAATCAAAGATTCAGTACCTCTCCCAAGAAATCCATTATATATCAGAAATTACAATGAAATACAAGCATATACGCATGCTACATGTCCACAGGCTCATCGTTCAAACTAGCCTACCAACAGGTTAAAAGAAATACTCTCCAAAACACTAAGTATTAAGTCATTTCATTCACCATTTTGGATCCTATATTCGATTTTCAAATGTTATATTTTTTTCTTATTAATCAAACTATCACATATACAAGCTATCCAAGAGTACTAACACACTGACACTGAGATAAGCAACAGTCATACACAAGTATTCCACGAATGACTTAATCTTTGCCAAGCTCAACACTACATTCTGTAACACAGGAACATCAATCAACTTACAGTTGTTTGCCTTATAAAAAACCAGCGGATCTATTTATTATATACTAAACTTTTGCCACATACATCTCTCTTAGGGTCATGATTCACTATGAAAAATCTTTCACATCCTCTTAAGGAAGCCAGTATAGTCTCTAATACTTGAATTTTCTCTTTATAGAAAGTATCAATGAGAATTGGCTATGACTAAGTAGTTTCATAACAGGTAGAATTGTGGCACTAATATTTTGATTAATTGTTTTACAATTCAGTATTAAGAACTTAATCAGAATTACAATAATCACCAATTACAAGAAAAAGGTAAAGGGAAGAAAAGGAAAGCGCCTCCCTCACACAAATGTTTCTCAAAATATCAAGTCTGAAGTAAATGCCTATTGAAGAAATCAACAACAGCATCAATATTTCTTACCAATATCAAATGTTTTAAATATTCTCAACCCCAACCATGTGTATTTTCTTAAACTGAATCAGATTATAAGAATTTTACACTCAAAATGACTTTCAATTCTCAATAAATCACAAACACAGCAGTGATTATTTTTTGACATTTTATCCAAAACATTCACATGCTACTTTAGGGTAAAAAGAAACTCAACATTTCCCAAATATTTTCCTCAAGGACTAGGTTTTTAAATTATACTCCTACCATATTTTTGTACAGATATAAATCTTCATTTTTCTTAAAGAAAATACTATTGCTTTAAACTACATTCCATAAGAGCAATTTAAAGCATCATGTTAATTTCCATGACAACACCCTTCAATCTCCTCTAGTCTCATGCTCTCCCAACTGAGCTATTTTGGCTCCTCCTTCAATCTCTGGTAAAAGATTATACCTTGAGATAAGAGGCCATAAAAGCAATAGACTGTGCAAAATCAAACAGTAACATTTTTTTAAAGGAGTGACTTTCTATCCAACAGATAGTTTCAGGAATGACTGCTATTAGGTGGGAAAACAGGTAAGGTGAACATTGTTCTAGACCAATTCAGTGACTGTCTGTTGGCAGGCCCTAGGATAAAAATATTTTTTTCTTAAAAAACTTTAAATTTATTAGTAATAAAAATACTTACTGCATATGACTAAGATCTTTTGAGCTACTAATAAAATCTATACTACAACACCTATTAATTTTGAAAATCACTAAAGCTAAATATAGGGTCTTGTCAACGTTCTAACTTGTGTTAACTCACCTACATGTGCCTCTGTTTTATGAATATATTCTAGCGTAGGCACTTGTTAGGGAGTCATAACACAAGACATTTCAATTATTTTTAAAACATAGAAAAATATTCAGTTATTTAAGTGAAATATTTATCATTGCCTAATGAAGACAGTAGTTAAAAAGTTATCAAACTCTCAATTTCTAATGCACAACATGATGCAATTGCACAAAAATATGTATAACTAATAGTTATCCCCAGGCCTGGAGGAACTGTGAATAATTCACATATTCCTCTAGAAGATTCATCACCCTATGGACTGATAAAACTACAACTTGCCACCTGTGCAGCTTTTATTTAAAAATCCTAGAAAAGTAATTTATATTAATAAACCTAAAAAAGTTTAAAAAGGTTTCCAATAACTTGAATTGCTTATAAAATAACCTCTAAGAAGTCATTTTGATAGCTGAGACTGGTTTTACATGTTACACCTGGCTTCAACTGAGGTAATATCCATCTGAGCAGTACTACACTATTGCTAGAAGTAAACCAGTGAGCTACTTTAAGAATTTCAATTCCAAGCATTTCTTGCAGGGTTGGGAGGTTGAGTGCAGGTTCCTCTAAGTTGTAAAGATTCCTCATTGATCTTGACACATTCTCAGTAACAGTTTTAGAAACGTAAGGAAAAATACATATATAGGAGGAAAATAAATTAATCCCAACTAAAAACTCTTGCTTTAATCTAAGAACAAACTATTAATAAGCAACTCTGTCAAAGAACTACAAACATAGTCTTTTAATTTAAATGCTCCTTTTTCTTTTTTTTTGTATTGTATTGTATATAGCCAGACTAATGCAATGGAATAAATGTACTTTGGAAATGATTTCCAACTCCATATGGCTTCAAGCATCATGATGTTTAGCAGAAATTAAATTACTACACCAAAGAGGCATTTTTGATTATAAAACTAATTTTTAGTATAAGTTGACTTAAAGGATTTGAAATAGAACTTAAACTTATACAAAATAAAATGTAATCAAATGGACTGTGGATAAAAATATAAATAAAAATTTAATAGCATGTACTCAATTTTCAGATTAAAACAAAAAACTGTACCTTTGCTATTACAGGAAAGAGTTTTGATGGGATCATGCATTTTTCTTTTTTTAAAGTTCTACCATATAGGTCATATTAAAATCCAAGTTTATGCAGTTATAAAGTTAGCTTGAAAACTCAACTGTAGTGTAATGTGTATTAACAGTAAGTATCTCTACAAAAGATGTGGATACTAAGATCCAAATTTGGATTGCTTTAAAACAACAAAAACAACAACAAACAAAATCCAACATACAAAATCAGAAACAATAATTGTAGGAGGTACTATTTTAGATAAAGTGGTAACTCGGGCACTACCTGTCTTATGTACATTGAAGAAGATCTATCCTCGAAATGTTATTATTTAAATACCTAAAAATACAAATCAGTGGATGTGTATTAAATGTATGTCTGAACTTAATTATAATGAAAAGGTTGACAAATATTGCTCTCACTTTGTGGTTAATACCAATGGGTACCATCAGCAGTACAGTCTTGGAACTTTATTCCTCATGAAGGAAATTTTAAAATCTATATTGAAGTTGGTACTTCTAACGGGACAGGATGTAGCACAACTTAAAAATCACAGTTAAGTTTCTGAGTTTCCTTCACCATTTTCATGAGGTTGAAGCTGTTCCCTTTCTTGTTCTTCTTGAGGTGGCCGGACACGTTTAAAGAAGCCCATCTGCCAGTTGAAAAAAAAAAACCTCACATTACTGCCACATCAATGAAGAATACTGAAAGTATTCTGAGTGACCATATTATGACCAAGAAAATTTAAATGGCACTTAGTTGAATTTTTCTTCCTTCAAATGATAGGGACTGCTCATCATGCATCATCATTAAAGGTCCCTTTCTTCTTTCCCTCCCTTCTTTTGCTCCCTCCCTTCTCCTTTTCTTCTGCTTCCCCTCCCTCCTTCTCTTCCTAAGTCCATCACTTACCCTGTACATTACAAATACCAAAACAGCCAGTAACAACAATCCTGCTAGAACTGCTAAAATGATCACCCACACAGGTACAGGCATGGGTGCTGGCTGAATGCCCCAGGTGACATTAGTGGTAACCTGTTGGGGGAAAAAGTTCTTGAGTTTTGAAAATAGTTCACTGAATCATTCAACAAATATCTGAATGTCTATTATATTTTATGTCAATGTTACTCACATTATTTTCTTTTCTAGTACATGATTACACATTTGGTATCAATAGCATACACACACACACACACACACACACACACACACACAACTCTCAACACGTTAACCTCTGACTGACTCTGAAATGATTTTTAAATAATCCAACCCAGTTTATGATGTGCTGGTCCCATTTTTATCCTCAAATTAAAGATTTATAAAATACCCTCACTTAACTGCAGTTAATTTCTAACTTTCTAACTTTGTGGGGAGAAATTCCCAAAATTTTCCCTCATGAAATTTAGTGATGCTAAGTATCTTACATAGGACAAGATGCTAAAGTAAAAGGTCTACCTTTAATAATTCTGGGATGGGGGGAGGAAAATAGTAATGTTAAACTAGTTTATACTAGGTTATAATCCATTCAAATAACTCAAGTTACTTTAAATTATCAAAATAATTAACTGCCATTATTTAAAATAAAATAAAAATATCTATGGTATTGAACTGAGTGCATTTATTCCATTTCCCCAAATCAATGACTTACCAATGTGGAGTTGAAGATGTCCTCAATTAGAAGGTTCTTATATGGAAACTCTATAACATTAAATGAAGCAGATGACTTCAGAGAATATGAATGATTCTGGTTTTCCTTCTATATGGAAATAACAATAAAATGATTTTCTATATGTCAGGCCTTTTTTATTTCTTCGAAAAAATGGGTAAGTTCGCTGAATGCTGCATCTGCCCACTTACATTCATAAAGGTCTCAGTCCACAGCAGAGACTTTACATACAGGATTGCACTCTTTC